GTTCAAAAGACGGAGGAGAAGGAAAATTAATTGTGCAGTGAATAATATTCGAAGAAGGGCACAGTGGTGTTATCATGAACAAGGCCAGCATTTTGAGAATTTGTTGTGATTTAATTTTGTCTGTAAATTATTGTTGGTTATTGTTATTTGTTCAAAGTTCTATTTTCATTGAAAAGGACACAAACGAACCAAACTCTGTGAGATTTTGATCCAATAATTTGAATATAGTTCGATGTGGTTGTCGTCTTTCGGGATACAAGTTCAAATACATTTCCGATGTCCTAACACTATTGTATTTGTAATAAATTTGTATCATATCTCTTTTTTCTTTATTTGTGAAAGCCATTTTTCGCCAAAAATTCAATGACTTGTACAATAACAAAATGTCACTGAGTGTAACAAATTGAAAGTAAAATTTAGAAACATCAAAGTCAAAGCCTCTTACGATAAGAATACATTTTTTTCAATATCTCCAATTTTTAGAAGAAGAATGATAACTTATGGTACATCATTGAAAAGGTAAAATCTGGTTTTATTCAAAACAGAAAGAATCCAATGTAGCGCCCATAAGAAAAAATAAAGTTGATGAGGGTGGCCGGAAGACGAAACGTCGGATATCAAATCTGAAAACACCATTAAGTAACAGGGAAAAAGTGGCAATGGGGAAGTGCAATTTATTTTCGAATCCTTCAAATTTCAGAACTTTCTCAACGGCATATTTTTAGTCAGGTAACAGTTTACAAGTATAAGTATATAAAAATCTCTCTTTCGATTGTGCCCTGTTAGGAGGGTTACATTCCTTTTCACATTTTAAAAATATTCATTGTTGATTTTACATTTATAAGTATTTTTTTTTCTAGCCAAAAGGAGAAACTTTCAAGTTCCCAGATTTATTTGATGTAGGCGAGGAAAAAGAAAAACAAGAACAAGATCATGAGAAGGCACTGAAACAAGCGAAAAATAGTTTTGATGATTTCCTGAAGAAGAACAAAGAGCGAAGAAACATGCCAAGTTGGTTTTCAATATAATTTTAAAATATGTTCTGTGAAATATGTAGAGAAATATATAACAAGAAGTGGAATATACTAAACATATTCTTTGAATACATGATTGGTCATCAGATGGAGGTTGTATTGAATATTGTAAATATTGCGGTGTTTTAATTGAAAAATAAAATTCTACCGAATTTTTATAAAGGTTTTAACGAGATTGCAGTCTGAATTTTTTTTTTCAGTGGTTAATTTTTTCAATTATTTTCCACCAATTTGAAGGGTTTTTTGAAACTGTTGATTTAATATACACAAATTAAAAGGAGTATATATTTAGAAGAGACTTTTGTTTTTCTACTTCTCCATCTTCATACAAAAAATGGAGACTTCTGAAAGTAGAAAAAACAACAATTAAGTTGAAAATTAACTCTTTACCAAGATTTGTACAAGATACAAACTGGATGAAAATGTTCTCCCACAACAACTATTTTCACATGAACATTTGATCACTTTAAACCAACTACTTTCATATGTATATTGAATAATACGAAAATCAATTTTTCTTATTCAGTTTGTACATTCGTTATGGAATTGAATCAGATTTAATTCGTAGAAATGCTACACAATTCAATTTATGAAGGAGTTACGATATGAAATTTAACTTACAAGGGAACACTTTCATCCTCAATGATGAACTTGGAAGTTTCGGAAAAAGACATTTGTCCTATAACCGCATCAGCACCGTTTTGGATAACATTACATAATGAAGCATTCGATTTATTCAGTACATTATGACTTTATGCCATGAAAGAGTTGACTTTACCCATATTACGATGACAGTATGAAAAGATATTCAGACCCTTATTTGATCTAATCCGAGCCACATGAATCTTGTTCAAATTGAAAGGGGTATATTTCAAAAAGACATTAGTTTTTGGGAAAGAAAGTAATGAAGTTCGAAATAAACCCTTAATAAAGATCATGAAGAGAAGTTACTTTCGGATACAAACTGGAAGAAAAAGCCTTTTGGAAACAAGGTAATGAAATTTAAGTTACTCTTTCATATATTATACCATGTAGCGTTCCTATCTTATTTAAAAAAATTGATTTTCGTATAATTCAATGTTCATATGAAAGTAGTTGTTTCTAAAGTATTTTTTCTATCGTGTAATTCAATGTTCATGTTGTCATGAATCCATACAGGATAATTGAAGCGGCATCGGAGTAGTTTCAGTTGTTAATTAGCTAGCATGGAGGTATGCACTTTATGTATCAATACTTTCTTGTTTTCCTATTGTTATTTGATAAAGTTCATCAAGGAAATGATTCAGTGTGTTGTCAATGATGCCCCTATTCGAAACAATCAATAATACACAGTGGTAAAATGCAATAAATCACCTGTTTTTATGTTTGCCATATAAATGTTGGAAACAATCAGGTCAGTTGTTGAGCAATTGATTTTTCCAAATATGTCCGTTGAAGTGGACAGTTGAAAACAAAGATTTTCTAAAATTCCTGAAACAAAACTATTAATTTTTCACACAATGGGTGATTGAACAACTTCAGAAACAAAAGTTTGATCTTTACGTAATTGCGAGTGGAAAAACCTCCAAAGGAGATCCTGTTAAAATAACTATATTGTTGTATTTATTTGGAGATGATGCTATAGAAATTTATAATACCTTCGAGTACGAAAAGGATGAAGAGAAAAATTGGCCACTGTCTTATCAAAATTAGAAGTTCATTTCAATCCGACAAAAAACCTTGTTTAGGAACACTTCAAGTTTTTCAAACGGGAACAATTTTCATGTGAAATGATTGACCAGTTCATCACATCTCTACGTGCGATTTCAAATAAAATATGTTTTAATTCGTGATCGGATTGTACTGGATGTAAAAGATCTACTTATTCAAGAAAAAAATCCTCAAAATCCTGATGTCAAGCTAATAGAAGCCAATAATATTTGTCGATCCATGTAAGCAAATGTCGCAGCTCAATAGGAAATACTGAAAGATACGGTAACTGTCAGTGAAATTAAAAGGCGTGATCGGACAGTGTACTGGTGACAGTGCAGTGTTCTCTAGTTTCAGGAGGACTTTCTCTCAGTTTGTGTCTGAAAGTTACTTCTTTGCATGATCTACACATCCATGTACAGAGTTACTTATTTTGAAATTGATTACTTCCTTCCTTTCCTTGGAAGATTCCCTCATCCTTGTTTTTTGTATCAAGATGGAGTAGTAGAATGCCAAAAACTTTCTTTCCCTAAAATTAATCACTCCTAAAAATATAACCCCTTCAATTCAATATGCTATAGTTTTGTCTGAAAATGCTTTACCATATGTTAGCGCTTCTCAGAAAATTCCTTTGGCTTTGAAACAGAGGGTTAGGCTAAAATTGGACGAAATGAAAGTTCAAAATAATATTTCGACTGGGTAGTTATTTTCAATTGTTGTTCCAAAACCCAATGGATATATGAAATTTTGCATGGACCCAAGAAAACCAGTACATCAAATCAGAAATTTTTTAAATTCCCACACAGGACGTGTTATTTTCCCAAATGAATTTCAATTTTTTAAAAAGTACAATTCTTTGTACCACTTCTACATGTTTTGGTAGATATCGATATCTCAGACTTCCATATGGAATATCTTCAGCCCCAGAGATTTTACAAAAATGTATTTATGCAATTCTGGAAGATTTTCCAGGACATTCAGCATATTTCGATGATATTTTGGTAGTTATATGGTCGTACATTTGAAGAACACAATCATTGCTTCAAAACTAATACAGAAAATTAAAAGTAGTGGACTTACACTCAATTGTAAAACATAACAATTCTGCGTCACTTTTTGGAATACTTATATCATCAGTGAAAATGGAATATCTGATAATAAAACGCGTGCTATCCGTGAGATGAATCTGCTAAAGTTTAAAAAGGACTCAACGTTACTCAGGAATGATAGTATACCTTTCAAAATGTATTCCCAATCTCTCAAAGGACACAAGTAATAAACACGAATGGATCTGGACTTTAAATGAACAAAAATGTTTCAATCATTGAAAACAATTGATATCTAGCGCGACAACGTTATCATATTTTGGTCCCTCAGAAGATGTAGTGCTATACTGAACCATACGGACTCGGTGTCTTCATTGTGAAGATAATCATCCTATCGAGTTCGCAAGTATTTTGTTGACTACATTCATATTAAAAAAGGCTTATTGCCATTGTTTTCGGGACTGAGCCTGAGCGATTCATAAGTACTATTTATTGGGCCTGAGTGGATTCGAAATTGAAATCGATCATAGAACATTACTGGGATAACAAGTAGAACATAGAAGATAGTAGTAGAACATTACTGAATGAACCTTTTGATGACATTACACAACGAATTTAAAGACTTGCCATGAAACTGCTGCAAAATAGATTCATACATAGTTTTGTTTCTTTCGTTCAAGGGACAAATATGCAAATTCCCGATACATCGAGTTGTGACCCAACCAGATACTATGAATACGAATTTAAAGGTATTCTCCGTAATAGCAACCAGACCAGAAAATGAAGAGAAGCAATAAGTGACGACCTTGAACTTCAAAAAGTTGAATATTTATGCCTTGAACGAATGGCCAAAACACAAAACTAATGTTCGGTGTGAAATAAAAAAGTACTGGCTCATTAAAGATAACATATTTTTACAAAAAAGATGTACTTTTTTTATAGAAAACGGTTTAGATTCCACGTAGCCTTAGACAAGCATTTTCAAACTTGATGCATCAATCTAATCAAGGTGTAGTTGCCTGCAAAAAAATAGCAGAGGTGCCAATTTATTTATTAACATGGCTGGTCTATCGATATAGAAAAGCTTTTTCGTTCTTCTCCATTATGTCAATGATACATATAGTCTAACCCTAGAAGAGACTGCAGCTTGTTTATCCGCAGGTGATAATGTTGAACAACATTGTATATTTTTATGTCTCACATACTCATAATTTGGGCTCTGTCTTAACTATTGAATTAAGTTTTGAAGTAATTATGTCTACAAGATGGTACTAGAACAATACTTTCAAATATCAATACCTTATATTTTTTCTCAACAGGTATCCTATTTATCAGAAAGGAGGTCCTCAATTGAGAGTTTTTCTACCTAATTTTTGGATGAAACTTGTTAGACCAACTGTGGAGATTCCAAGTAATATTGTGCAATTTTCTTGCTCAATGGAAATGACCAAGTATGATATTAAAAATTATCTTGAAAAAATTTATAACATCAAATGCATACATGTAAGGACGCGAATTCACATGCCAAAAACAAGGCGAGACCCAGGAAAAGGATACGTGATCAAAGATGATGATATCAAGTTTGCTTATATTACACTGGTGAGTATCCAGTTGAGAAAGATGAGATTGACATGTAGGCAGAGCTGGACTTGAACTATTGATTAGCTGATAAAAGTTCACTGGTAATATTTTCAACTTAGAATTTTATTTCAATTTACTTATCTGAACACAGTAAATAGTACTTGTGATGCACTGTTTGGAACCTAATACTGGATTTTTTTTTTGTTTGATCTTCCTCTTGAAGATGATCACATAGTGATCGAAACACTTGTAGACACGTTTCAATGGAATAGTACCCCATTGTGATTTTGATATCTGTTTTTGTGATGAAAAAACCTGATGACACATTTCCCATAGTTTGTCTGACTTCTGGAAGAGGTGGGAAGGAGGCAGATACTCTAGAAAGGAAATAATGAAATATGATTTTCTTTGGACATTAGCATTCGTAATATGTTTCAGTACAAACACTCACTTAATATGCGAATCATTTGATCAATATGACTAGACTCCAGTGTGATTTATTATCAAGCACAATTCCTGGAAATTGAATAATTTTCCCATCTTGATAATTTGTGTACGAAGAAGCAAGCACATTTTGAGTATTGTCTTCATTTAGTTTAAAATTATTTAGTGTGAACTATTTCNAATCTGTTAAAATGTATTTTTCCGTTAACCAGCTGTCGCCCCTTACGAAAGACAATCCTCAAAAGTTGAAACTTGTGTGAGGTCTTACCTTTTAAGCAGTGAAAATCGAACGTCTGGCCTCTTGGCTCGAACCACCATTTCACTTGACGGTCAACTGATGAATGATGAAATATCAAACAAATACTTTTCCTAAATAAATCATGATTTTTAAACCGTTATCCATTTCATATGTGAATGTAAGAAGTCTGATGGAAGTGAATTTATATCCAAAGAAGAAATTGATATTTTTACATTCACCAATACTTAGCTTTATCCTGATGAAACATCATTCACTAAAACTCAGAAAAAATTATTTAGAAATTCATGAATGCAGATGACTTGAACGTGGTGAAGGAATATCTATTTTTGTAAAGAAACATTTGAACTTCAACATTATCAAATAAGAATCCCTAGAAAATTGTAATTATATCATCATTAAAATAATTTGAACAAATCTAAAACTCAAAATTGGAATAATCTATTGACCAATAAATCATTAATGACATTACCAATGCTAATAAAAATTTAATCTTAATGGGAGATAGTATTTGAGTTTGTTGGAGAATAATATAGTTGATGAATATAAAAGTATTTATTGAAGAATTGGTTACAACATTTTTAATGTTATTGATGAGTATCATTTCACAAGAAAAAATCATAAAAGCACCAGAACAATTTTGGATTGTGTGGTTACAAACATTCAGTTGAATACTTCAAGATATCATCTCAATTTAAAGGACTGCCATCTATTTTTTTTTCACATATGTTCATTTACTTTGTATATGAATATAGCTGAGATTGTATTTATAAAGATGTATCTTTTTTATGACTTACCCTGGACTTCTCAAGGTTATTTTTAGTTTATTTAGAAGTTTGTTTATTATTTCCGATGTAGATATCATAAAATTTCATGAATAAACTTATATTATTATATTATCAAATGTAATAACAATTTTAGATAAAGACATTCCACCGTATTATAATAAAAAAGCTGTAGTCATTTACTGGACATTTTTAGGCCTTGTCAGTTGTATGAAGGAATAAAAAATAGATGCAGTTTCAATAAAATATTGAGAGTGGGATAAAATGATTAGATAACTGATGAAATTTTAAACAAGATGAAAAATCGTTATGAAATTTACAAAAACCCCACAAAAGACTGGTGTACCACAGGGTTCTGTGTTAGGCCCTATTCTGTTTCTGTTATATATGAATGACATATCTATGATTAACATATCTGGTAGTTTCACTCTATTCGCGGCTGATACTTTTGACAAATAACTTTAT